GGCACTGTCCGCACTCACGTTAAAGGCATTATCATCTATGTATTTCAACCAGCCTCAGCCGGTACAGCCACCTATCGGAAAACGGCGGAAGTAAAGTTGTGCACCTGATATTGTCTTGCGTTCTCTGTGGTCCGAAGGTGAGATTGGACCTTACTTATTTGAAAACGAAAACGGCAAGACAGTCACGGTCATCTCGAAGTGTTATGGCGTACGATAACCGATATTTTTTTTGGTCTGCAATTGAAAAACACAATTTAGACAATATGTAGCTTCAACAAGATTTCGCTGAGTACCACATAACACGAGTCTTGGCGATGTTAATTGGTCACCGAGATCATGAGATTCGATACCATTTGACCTTTTTTTTTTGTGGAAAATACCATGTTTGTGAGAATAAAACTTTAACTCTCGCGTAATTGTAAACCGAAATTTTTCAAATGGTTGAAAATTACCAAAACAAAGTCTTCGCAAGGTTTGCAAAAAACATAATGGAAATAATATTTTAAATGCTTTTTACTTACGTTTATTTTCGAAACCGCAAAATGGATAATCCTGTATGTGTTATATGGAGATAAATCAATGAATGGGCGTTTTCGGCAACTGACATTGTAGATTAAATTGTTATGTAAAGGCATCCATGAGCGGGACAGCTATTTTTAAAACTCAATCATTTCACGCAGACTATTTTTGACACTGACTTTAATTATTTTATTTGTAGACACAAAAGAGGTAAAAGTTTGATGCAAAACGGAGGCTCTAATGCAGACACTTTTTAATTTTTCTTCGTACTTTCGGCACAAGTCCTTCTTTCTTCTATTTTTTTAAGAGATTGTCAGTAAATTTGTATTCTTATAATCTGCCACAAGTATCCAGCTAGAATGCGCACAACTGTGACAGTCCCAGAATCATAGATACTGTTATCACTGACTTTTAATTTGATGAACTACATACATACAAGTATGTCAATACCTTCTCATAAAGCTCAACATTCAGACGACCATAAATCTTCCGCAAATCTTTTTTCACAAAGACACCCAAAACCAAAGCAACGTCCACACTCCTGTACCATAATGTAGGACGGGAATGATGGGCGAATTGTAGATATTGGCCTTTGTTTGTCGATACTCCTCTCTCAACCTGTTATCTATTCGAGAATAAAGTAGTTCCCACCAGCTCTGTGTTTTAAATGGAATGCTGTTTAATTTGAAGCGTTCCTGGTATTGTAAAGGGCGATTTTTTAAGAGCTATAGGAAAGTTTTTCAAAAACCCTTAAAATTCAGAAAAATTCACGAACTCTTTATTTGAATCGATAGTACGGTTCATATAATTTAATATTTGAAGATTATTTCATGGAAATGTTAACCGTGACAGCGTGGTCCATACGCTTAGTCCAGTTTTGGCATACTCATTTCAACATTTCGGCCAGTATCTCACGAATAAATGCTTCAATGTTGTCCTCCTGTATGGGCATTGGATTTAACATAGCTCCAGTATAAATGAGTAAAATCGCACGATCTAGGCGGCCAATTGACCGGTCCCGAGCGTGAAATAAAATGTTCATCGAACTCGCCTCTCAATAAGTCCCTTGTTACGCGTGCTATGTGGCATGTGACACCGTCTTGTTGAAACCACATGTCTTGCAAGCCAAGCTCTTGCCTTTTGGGGCAAAAAAAAATTTAATATCATCTCACGGTTGCGCTCACCATTGCCACCAAATGTGATTAAGAGCATAACATGTCGAACGGGACAGTACCTAAATATATGTCAGTCAGAAGTATACGCAGTAAACAAATATGCAAACCTAAGCAAAAAGAAAGAAAATATTCATATTTTGTTAGAAAACAAATAGAAATCGGATGGGTCCGGTGAGTTAGCCGTGTGTTGAAGAATCTCCCAACGGAACGACTATTTCTGTTTTGCTTTGTGTGCTGGTGCATTGTCATTCAACAAAATCAGCCTGTGTTGTCTTTGTTGGTATTCTGGTCGATCCATATCGGTCATTTGTTGTCGATAGCGTTGAGTATTGGCAGTTTCCCAGGTTTCAGCAGCTCGGTTTTCTTCCGATGAAAACAGAAAAGTAGTGCTGTCCGCAAATCGTAATTTGTTGGCACAAAACTCGACTCTAATAAACTAATGCTACTGAATGAAACTCGTTCTATTGTGAGTTGGAAATCTTTGTCGGATATCAAAACAATAATAAGACACCGCGAACGTGATGTGTCGGTAACTGCATCGACATCTAGCGCAACCTGTAGGCAAATTCCGGTTTCATGGACATAGTTCCGGATATCAAGAAATAGCCGATAGTCTGAATAGGTCATGTCGTGCGTATGGATGAAAGCACACCACCTATGAAAGTATTGGATGCAGTACCCGCCGGTGGAAGCAGAGGAAGGGAAGACCTTCACTCCATCGGAAGGATCAAACAGAGAGCGACCTGGTTTCAACTCGCACCAAACAGCAAAAAGAAGGAAGGAATGGCGCGATATCGTTAATTCGTCTATAATCCCATAGGCCACGCCAATGATGATAATGATGAGCAACTTTGCAAAACAAATGAAAAAAATTTAATTGTCTTACAACACGGTTATCAAAAAAAAACTGAAATTTATAAAAAAAATATTCTCACTAATTTATTAATTTTGTTTTGGCATTATACAAATGTGTTATAATATTATATATATATTTAATTAATTTATGTGTATAATTGGTATGCCAAACCATTCACCGTTCACCCACCACTTTCAACCAAATTAGTTACCATTTACATACATACATACACCATATGTATAATTCAATTCGAATAACGCTGAAAACCTTAAAGTTGCAAAGTTCTTTTTTTTTGTTGTTGTTGCTTTTATTGCTCTTATTGTTGTTGACCACAATATTTTCGCTATGCCCTAATTGTCAGTGACCGACCGACAACAATAGTAGTTTGTGCACACACATTGAGCTTCCTGTGATCTTATGCTCCAGTCAACTGCGTCTCATGCGAAGCAGCACAAACAATGTGTGAATATTATACACGTGTGTGTGTGTGTGAATATGTAGATGAGAACACCATAAATATTTTTGTCATATTTGTTGTTGTTGGTGTTTTTTTTTAATTTATATTGTTTTTTTTTGCTGTTGGTATTACAAGAATGTTGCTTTTGTGATAAGAGAAGGGTGGGAGAGGAAAAAGTAGAAGAAAAAAAGCAAAAAATGCAAATCAATGTTGACGCTGCTGCTGCTGCTGGGAGATGTAATGTAGATGTGTTGTATTGAGCAGTAGGCGTTGGTGGTGCATTGCCGTGCAGGCAGTCAAGTGGCACCAGGCAAATCAGTGGGGTGTGTGTGTGTTTGTAAGGAAATATGCTAAGCTCTAGTGAACCACACAATGACCATAAATACTTGAAACAGCATCAGCTGCGGTCGTATATATATATATATATGTATGTATGTAAATATGTATATATATATATATATATATAATGTTTGGCGTCGAGGTTGGTGGGGGTTTTGTCGCGGTGAATAAACAGTAGTTAATATTGATCTATTCAAGCGCTATTATGGTCCATACGAGGGATTAACAAAAGTACGGTCAGTTGGTGACTTTCAAATTGTTTTTGTTAAATCTGGAAATAAGAAATCCTTGGCAATTACTTTATTAGTGATGTTTTCAAAATTTTGAACGTTTTGCACCATGAAACGCACACAGAAAATCGCCATGTGATTCTCTTCGGGTTTTGGCGTAATTTACAGCCAATACAAATATGAAGTGAATACCAAATTGCATATGGAACGATTACACCGTCTTCAAAGACTATTTCTAAGAGTTTTCGAAGATTCCAGACAGGATACTTTTCCATGTAGGACGAGTCCATAGAAGGTCGAACAAAATTTTCCACTGATGACGTCAATGTAGCTCCGGTGAAGTCCAGAATTGACGAAGATCCACAATTGTCACAAGAAATGAATGCTAATTAATTGGACTTGAATACCATCGATGTATCGTGAATATTAAGTAATCATCTGGAATACACGAATAAATCTGCTCGCTGGGTACCACGAATTTTAAATGAGGCTCAAGTCAGTCTAGCAATTTTAGTAAAGTCGTTGCTGGTGACGAATCAGTACAAACCAGAAATCAAATAGCAGTCCATGGTATGGAGCCCAACAGTAGCAACCCCACGTGTATAATCTAAGCAACAAAAATCAGCAGCGAAAGAAATGAGATCAGTTTACTTCACCCGATCTAAAATCATAGCTGCTATTCCACTAGGAAATGGTCAGACGGTAACTGCAAAATGGTACACTGAAGAGTGCTTACCAAAAGTTTTCAAAAATTTGTTAGAAAACGCCATCCCACACGGCTGAAATTATGAGTAATTTTATTGCGATCTCTGGCCTCGAAGAAATACGTCCAGCACCATATTCTGCACCTTGTGATTTCCGGTTATTTCCAAAAAAAAAAAATAAAACGAGGAGATAATTAATGCGGTTAATGCTGAACTTGATAAGTTTAATGAGCAAGATTTTGAAAAATATTTTCAAAAGTGGATTTTAAGGCTTAAGAAATGCATCGAAATCAATGGTGATTATGCAGAGAAGTTAATGGTTACGAATAAATACAATTTTTTATATTTTTTTTTTTTTATTTTTCTGATCAACTCACCAAACTTTTGTTAATCCCCTCGTATATGATGATGATTTTGATGATACTGCTGCCGATGCTGTTGACTGAGCCACCATTCAACGCTGACCGCATCATTGGTGTATTGTGTGTCTGCATAAATTATGTACGTCCATCAGCAGTGCAATTTGTCGGTGCTGTCGGTATCATGCGCCCAAATAAGTTTATTATACAATAATCATATTAAATATGGTATTTATTTTAACATAATAAATATGAAATGCTTTGGTTTGTAATGTACATGTATGTGTATGTGTGTACTTACTAATTGAAAGCAATTTTATTCATGATTTATTTTTTATTTATTTATTTTCTTCATTTACAGAGTTTGCACTTGACGGTCGACGGTCAGACTGATTGCTGACTGACTGTTGTATGCCGCCGCCAAAGAATAAAAGCAACATGAAAAACTACATAGAGGTAAAGAAATAAAAGCGACAATGATGACCGTAAGCCAACTAGCGGCAGCAGCGTAATAAACGCTACTACAAACATACAACCGTTTCAACACATTACGAGCTATAAGAACAGCTAAAGAAGAAAGTCTTGAAGAAGTCAACTGAGCTAGTTGCATACCAAACTACAACACATACATACATAAACGCAAAGCGTATAAAAACATATGGGCATAAAAATGTATTAACATACATATGTATATAAATAAATATATATATATTTAAGCTTGAAAAGTTTGGCAAAGAAAAGCCGTGAAGAAATTTTTTTTAACCAAGTAAAAGAGAAAAATCACTCATTCTTCCAACTCAGCTTAGGTGAATCTGTGAAATTGTGAAGTACATATCAAGCACACACACATACACACATTTTTAATCAACATACCTACATCTATACGTGTATGTATGTAAAAGCATTATCAACGCCGCCAACATCATCTACACGCATAATCTACATTATATTTAACTGTATAATTAAGAAGAAGAAGAAAATAATTGTACTCAACAAACACTGCAAGTTCTTCAAGTGATATTTGTTGGCAACTAATGGATCCATATCATCATATCAGACATCATGTAAGTGTATACAAGACATTACAGTAAAGTTTACAATTTAATTTTTGATTATTTTCATCTTTTATCATTCGCATTGACTGACACCACGTCAACTAGTATCCATCATCCACGCGTCCAGAATTGCAGCAAAAATGCAATCGTGGCTCACATTCAAGTGACACCAGTTCAGCGTATAGCGGCAGCGACACTATGGCATCCGTATATGGCTCATCGATGGACGCCGAAGAGATTGATCTCTCCGGTTTGGTGGAGTCGGTGGTGGACTCCGATGAGGAGGACTTGGCCGAGAGTATGGATGTGAGTTGTTTGCTTATTCCTTATCATACTTTAATATATCAATGCATATTCTTTCTTTCACTCGCACTTAGAGTTTGAATGTACGCGATGCTGTACGTGATTGCTTGGAGAAAGATCCCTCCGAGCGTACAGAGGAGGATGTTGAAATATTACTCGAGTTCACACAGGGCTTGAAGGCCTTCACAAACATTACGCTAGCAGTGCGTCGTGCACTTTGCGCCGTTATGGTATTCGCTGTTGTCGATAAAGCCGGCACAGTGGTTATGTCTGATGGCGAGGAGCTCGATTCGTGGTCGGTGCTTATTAATGGCGCTGTGGAAATCGAGCATGCAAATGGTACACGTGAAGAGCTGCAAATGGGTGATTCGTTTGGCATATTGCCTACCATGGATAAGCTGTATCATCGTGGCGTTATGCGCACCAAATGTGATGATTGTCAATTTGTTTGCATAACACAAACCGATTACTATCGCATACAGCATCAGGGTGAGGAGAATACGCGTCGGCACGAGGACGAGGATGGTCGTATTGTAATGGTCACAGAATTGCGTCAAATTGGCAGCAATGAACATGGCACCAGCGGCGGCAATGCAAGTGCAGCGAGCGCTGTGGGCTTGAAACGTGGACATGTTGTGATACGCGGCTCGCCGGAACGCCTGCTGCAGCAATTGGTCGAGGAGAATTCGATGACGGATCCGACGTATGTGGAGGACTTTCTGCTCACGCAACGTATTTTCATTAAAAATCAACAAGAGGTTACACAGAAATTGCTCGCCTGGTTCGAGTGTGATGCCGAGCCGCCTAAGGGTAGCACCGCTTCACCGCAGGAGATACGTGATCGTGTGACGCGTGTTGTGCTGTTATGGGTCAACAATCATTTTACCGATTTTGAGGCTGATCATGAAATGATGGAGTTCTTGGAGGTGTTCGAGGCTGGTTTGGAGCATTCGCAAATGCTGAGTCAATTGCGTTTGCTGCATATAGCGTGTGCGGCTAAAGCGCGCATGCGCAGTTGTACGCTGACACGCTCATCACGTGACGAGCCGTTAAATTTCAATATAATCGGCGGTTATGAGATGCGTGGCATTACGGCCGCCACCGGTGTTGGTGGTTGTGGCATATATATAGCGCATGTAGTGCCCGGTTCGAAGGCACAAGATGTCGGCCTAAAGCGTGGCGATCAAATACACGAAGTTAATGGTCAATCATTCGAGCATGTGACCAGCAAACGCGCTATGGAAATACTTATGGGCAGCACACATCTGAGTATAACGGTGAAAAGTAATTTACTCGGTTTTAAGGAAATGATGTTGGCCATAGAGCAAGGCGGCAACGGTAGCAGTGGCAGCAATGGCGCCGGTACACCCATTGGTAGTGGCAGTGGTAGCAGCGGCGGTTCGCTAGGCACTAAATCATTGCGTAGTCCGCGTCGCATTTGCGCAAATGATATTGCCAAATTACATGGCCGCTGCATGTTGGATGACATGACGACGACAAATCGCTCGCACATGTTGCGTCTCAGCTCGGTGGATATGCTTTTGCCCACAGATCAAACAGATTGTTGTCAGCCAGCGACGCCACCGCCTCTAATGCCGCAGCAATCGAGTGGTGGCGGTGGTAATATGGCTAGTAATTTTATGTCAAATCTATTGCAGAGTGTGAGTAATGCCTCGGCGCGCAAGGATTCGCAAGCGAATTGTAATGAGGGCGGCGGTGGAGGTGGTGGCTCAAAAGGTGGCGGTTTCATGACACTCGCGCCCAAGCGTCGCATACAAAGAGCTTTAGCGAAAATGAATTTATTGCAGCATAAAAGTATCGGCGGTGCGGGTCTGAATGATTCCGTTGATATTACTACACCGACGGAAACGATGTCACAAAAAGCCGGCAAACTCACCACATCCTCATCTAGTTCCTCCTCTACTTGCGGTGGCGGTGGTGGTAATCGGCTCTACCAATCGCAATCTAATCCCGACTTAAGTTCGTCGTTACTGTATGAGGACGCCACATCTCTAACAACAAGCACCGCTACAGCACCTGCACCCACACCTAATTATCTAACAGCCTCCATGCATCGACCATCAGCTGTTTCCACGACAAGCTCCGCTATGCTGCCTGACTACCCCGAACATGTACTGAAAGTCTTTAAGGCCGATCAATCGTGCAAATATTTACTCATCAACAAAGAAACGACGGCGCACGAAGTTGTCATGTTGGCGCTGCAAGAGTTCGGCATACACGATCCCAGCTCAAATTACTCCCTGTGTGAGGTTAGTGTTGGCGAAGGTGGCATGGTGAAACAACGTCGCTTGCCCGATCAACTGCAGAACTTAGCCGAGCGTATTGGCTTCGCAGCGCGCTACTATCTGAAGACAAATGGCAGCACCGAGACGCTGGTGCCAGACGAATTGGCACTCGAGTTGGTGCGTGAGTCTAGTGTGCACTTCCTGCAGCTTAACGCCTATGAATTGGCCATACAATTAACGCTGCAGGATTTCGCCATCTTCCGGCAAATAGAATCTACTGAGTATATCGATGATCTATTCAACCTGCAAACAAAATATGGCGTGCCGATGTTAACCAAATTTGCTGAACTCGTCAATCGTGAAATGTTTTGGGTTGTAACTGAGATTTGCGGTGAGCACAATATTGTGCGGCGTATGAAAATTGTCAAACAATTTATAAAAATTGCACGCCACTGTAAAGAGTGTCGGAACTTTAATTCCATGTTCGCCATTATATCTGGTCTGGGTCATGCTGCTGTATCGCGGCTGCGTCTCACTTGGGAAAAGCTTCCTTCGAAATATCAACGGCTCTTCTCCGACTTGCAGGATCTGATGGATCCCTCGCGCAATATGTCGAAATATCGTCAACTGGTTTCCTCAGAGTTACTCGCACAACACCCCATCATACCATTTTACCCCATCGTAAAGAAGGATCTTACCTTCATACATCTAGGCAATGATACGCGTATTGAGGGTCTCATCAATTTCGAAAAGCTTCGCATGCTTGCCAAAGAAGTACGCCTGCTAACGCATATGTGCTCGTCACCCTACGATCTACTCGCCATACTTGAACTCAAAGGTCAATCACCCTCGAATGCACTCTTCTCGCTCAATCAATTGTCCACTTCACAAAATGCTGGAGGCACGCACAACACAGTCATCGCCGCCAATGCCGGTCAATCAACAATTAAGCGACGTAAAAAATCAACTGCGGCACCCAATCCAAAGAAAATGTTCGAAGAAGCACAAATGGTGCGGCGGGTCAAGGCATATTTGAATAATTTGAAAATCATTAGCGACGAAGATGCGCTGCACAAATTCTCACTCGAATGCGAACCGTCATCCAACTCACAAACACATGGCAGCAGCAGCGGTAGTTCACGTGGTGAAAGTGGTTTAGGTCGCGATGGCACCGGCAACTCATCAACACGTAGCGGTGATCAATTAAGCATCTATTCACACACTTCCTCTTCATCGGCACCCAATTCTTCATTATCCCTGCGCAAACGTCATCCCTCATCGCCGACCCTCTCCACAACCAGTTCAACATCATCCACGAGCGATCATCATAATCGTCGTAATATGGCGCACAATAATAATTCAAAATTTGGCATCGCTTCACCGCAAGCCGTCAAAAAAATACTCGCACTTTCAGATCCGACAAAAGTGCGGCCGCATCAGCCATTTACAGCGCGACATTCAGGCATGCCACCACCTCCACCACCACTACTAGTTAATACGCCGCATCATTTGCTTGCGCATGCCTTCTCAACAGCACCGGCTGGCATGCCCTTGACCGCTGCAACTGGCCCGTCAACTACGCCAAGTCCGTGTTCGCATCGGCGTCTAGCCTCCGGGAGCAATTCAATGCCAGCAGGTTAGTGTGTTTTGAACTTTTGACCTTCAATTTTTTTTTTTTTTTAATTTTTTTTTTTTGTTTTGTTTTCTATGCTAACAAATTTGAAATTTATGCACAGGCAATATGGTTCCCGTTCGGGCCATACATGAACGTTCTAATTCGGACACACCAACGCCACCGCTACCATCTGTTGATCTCTCAGCTGAAAGCAGTAGTGTTAATCCATTTCGAGACTTGTCAATGCGCAAATCTGTGACTTCAGGTGAGCTTATGTTGCTTTTCTTACAGTTTTTGGTTGATAAGGTCATTTAAGTTTTTATAATATGCTAAGCATTGCTATTAACTGCCTTTGTTGCTTACTAACTGATATGATAGCAATAGCGGGTTGGAGGTTTTTGATGCCCAAACTTTTGTAGTTTGCAGATGTTTAGTGCTTAATGGTTGAGGTTTAGATTTCAAGGTCCATTTATTTGCATCGCCATTGTTCACAATACACACGTAGTAAATATAAATTTAAAAATAAGGTAAATGCTACAGTCATACATTATTCCCCAATTATTATTTGCTATTAAATTTTTGATTCGATTTCGATTTACGAGAAATCTTTTAGGTATCAAAAAAGAAACTTATGCAAATTTTGCTAAATAAAAATTTTATTTTTGTACGCGCAAATATTTTCTTCGGGTCTAGCGCGAGTGGAGCTTCTATTTATACAAAAAAAAATCATATATTATATAGTCTAAGCCGCATGACTACAAAAGATGCGGGTTAGGGGTTCAATAATTTACTCGCGGTAAGGCATGGTTGTCATGGCCAAGGACTGTCACTCCCGCAAAATTCTCCAAAAACTACTTTGAGGAATATTTTTGCGGTTACAACAACAACAACATTTCACAGAAGTACCATAACTTGGCACAATTGAGGTCTTGATACTGTAGCAGGTTAAACTCTTACTTATCCAAACTCGACCCCAGCATATCCAACGTATGCCCTGTATGTGGAGAGTCTACGCACTACACTTACCACCTCTTCACATGACCCCTTAAACCGACTCATCTAACCCCCTCTTCCTTTGGTCCAATCTCGTCGAAACAGCTCGTTTCCTGGAACTCCCACTAGATGACCTCGGCGGCTTAGATTAATGAAACCTGTACCTAAGCGGGGTTAACGAACCGCTGCAACAACAACAACAACAAAAGTACCATTAATGATTATTCTCCGCTCTTCACCATGCAGTTAGGAAATCAGAAAATGGTTCACTACTTTCGAATTTTCTTGTATACTCGATTGCACTGTGTACACGAAGTAAACATTTTAGTTGTATTTTCCTATATGCCAAACTTCATTGAATAACGGATCTAATCGATTTAGCTATTTCGATCTGTCGATCCGTCCGTGCGTGTACACGATGAGAATAGTTCAATTAAGGATTGAGATATTGTAGTGAAACTCAGTTCAGCAATTCCTTGGGTCACAAGTCAAATAGGCGAAATTGAACCAAATTCACGCTCACTTTCCACACCCAACTTGGCAGGTGAGAATCGCTTATTTAAATTTACTTAATACATATGATAGTTACAGTGAGTTCCAAACATGTGTCAAGTGTTTTCCAATGTGAGGTATTTATTATTTTGATATTCAAAGAAAAATGGATTTTTTTTATGTATGAAATTTTTAATTTTTAAATTATTGGATTTTTATTTTAATGAAGAGAGGGAAATACGCCACTGATAATGGAAAGCAATATTAGCCCAATGGCCGCCATAAATACGCTAACACCGTATGCTTTCTATGAAATTTCCCAAGACCAAATCGCAAATTGAATGTTGTATGCCCTTAATAGCTTCACGAATTCCATTTTCGAGATCTTGAGTCGACGATGACCTGGTAGCATAAACCATATCTTTCACGTGACCTCAAAGGAGGTGGCAAGTTGGGACCACCTATTCAAGAGGATACCGGAAATTTTTCGCTTAAAAGATCGATAGGTTCGTTACTTGTGTGGCACGTAGCGCCACAAAGTAAACGTTGTCTAGATCAATACAATCCAATTCAGGCCATAAATTATTAATAATCTGTCGATAGCGCAATCCGGACCACAAACCGCACCAAACAGTTACACTTTGGGGATATACAGGCTTTTCAACAATAAAACATGGGTTTTTCGAGCCCCAGATGTGACGGTTTGGGTTATTGACATATCCATCGATGTGGAAATGGGCCTCATCACTCAAAATGATTATTAGATGAAATTCAGATCAATGCATTTCAAGGACACAAAGGTTCAAAGACACAACGACGACATTTGTAGAATGCTAAATTCCAAAGAACGACGAGATTTTCTTCAACACTTTAGTCTACGGCAGCAATATTCTCAGTTGTACTTGGGCGACGTGCAGGTACTTTATTCTTCACCTAGCCAACTTGTCCCATTGCTCCATTGTTTCCACCAATTTCTGTCCACGACGACCGAAAAATGTTTAAGTTTTATCAGCCGTCTTGAGAGTTTTCATCATTTTTGTAATGAATTTTAGTGATTTCAATGCGTCAAATGTCAAAAAATTACAGATTCAAAAGCAGACTATTCAAAATAACACCTCTTATTGCCCGAACTTAGTCTTGTTCTCGACTTGAAGTCGAATTATCAGTAATTCTTGGCATTTTCTGCAACAATTTTCCATCTTATGAAAATCTGGGAATCCAATGAGGTGTTAATCGTCGAATAAGCAAAGTAATTTTTTAAAACATATTTACACGATTATTGCGCTCCAACAAAAAGGATGCGATTTACATATTTTTCGGATATAAGCGAAACTCAGTTTAATGAAAATTAGACGTCGAAGCTAACTTTGAAAAGAAAAACTTAAAATAGTTCAAAAAACCTGTGTATTGGTGTATGCATACGCTATAACTAAATTATTAAATTAATTTAATTAAATATTTAACTATGCTTCTGTCAACCAATCCTCTATATTACTAACCTCGCTTCATTCACCCGTATAACCATTTATTGTGCTCTAGGTGTGGGATTTTTATAATTTGCTAATTTTTAATTTATTTTATTTTTAGTATTTCATTTTCTTTTATTTATTTTGGCTTTTCTCCCCCTACCCCGATACATATGTAGACGCTGACCACCTAATATAATAAATAAACAGTATGTATAACAGCGTGTCGGCTTACACACAACCATTTTGGTTACTTACCTCTCCATACATACATATACACATATGTACATGCATAAATTTTTACGAGTACACAGTAGTTTTGCAAAAATTGAGACGCAATTGTAGTTGGGTATTTGAACAATTTTTAACTTTTTTTAGTTTACAATACATAAATTTTCTGTTGTCTCATCACTATTTCACACCGATCCACATAAAACAAAAACCAAACAAACAAAAAAATAAACAAACAAACCAACAACCAAACCAAAAATGAAAATTATCAACGATAAAAAAAAAATGGACGAAATCACACGCCACAATAAAACACAATGCCGTTGACGTGCCATCAAAAACATACATACAAACACCACACCGCACTGCACTTCATTGCACATGCATATTACCAAATCATCAACACAGGCTCGGTATCATCCAGCGATAGCGGACACGGCTCATATGCCCAACAACATGACACGAGTAGCTCAGTTTACACCGCCGCCGATTGTCGACTGCTACAGCAAATATCCAATACAGCTGCGCGCAATTTGAGTGGGAGTAGCGGTGGTGGCGGCGGCGGTGGTGGGGGTACCGGCAGTACCAATAGTAGTTGCAGTAGCAGTGGCATTAGTCAATGCAGCAACAGCAATACATCAACTCCGATACCACCACCGCCACCGTATCATATGCTGCGCAGTGCCGCACATAATGTCGCCGCTGTCAATAACATGTATCACGCGAGTGCAACAAGTGTAGCAGCACCAATGGCGCCGCCACCGCCGTACGCTCGCCTTCATTGTGGGGAGACGATGGTGGGACCGTTAATGCATCCAGTAGCGGCAGCACACACACGACATTCCAATATGCACGGTAAGTGGGAGGGAGAGATAAGAGATGAGAAGAAGGGACGCGAATAATATAAAACGTGAAAAATCTAAATTATATATATTATGAGGCTTAATAGGAAACAACTGTATGTAAGATATTTTTAAAGCAACAACAATGCGGTTAGTAAGCAAGTAAAAAAGCAAATTTCAGGAAAATTTTTATGATATCGAGGCATATTCAACAAAGTTGCATATTCAAAAGGTTGCAAAAAAAACTTATGGAAGACTTTATAAATATTTCAAATTTGTCACTGTTGTTTTGAATTAATTATTATAAAATCGGCAATTTTCATAATTTGCAAATAGCATTTTGGTAACTTTTTTAATTTTTTGTTTGTTTATTTATTATTATTTTTTTTTTTAATTTTTATTTTTTCTTTTAATTTTTTTTTTAATCTTTTTTGCTCTTTTTATTTATTTATTTATTTTAATAAATTGTATTCCTTTTTTTTTTGAGTAAGACATCTCCGTTTTAATTGTAATAACTGTTTATGCTAATTATTCTATCTTACAGGTGCCGCACCAAATTTCGTGGATGGCAATAATAAATGCCCAATGTGTCCAACAATGTCGCCTCCATCAACTATGAATCAGTAAAGTGTTTGAGATGAAAACATGCTCGAGATTTTGTGTAATTTTAGAGTAAGTACGAGCCTTCAAGTGACATTAAGTAATATAATGAGCAAATTTTGTTGTTTATCCTTGAAAAAACTCTAAAAAAAAAGTTACTTTATTATTTTTTTTAAACACATTATTATTTTATATTAGGTCAAGTAAGAACATTTATTATTTATGCATTAAATTGAAAGCTTAAAATTATCCGATTTAAGTCGAATTAAGAAATTGGTCGTAGGGGAGCAGCTCATAGTGAATGATTCCTTGTCAATCCCTCCAAAGATATATCAAAACCTTCCTGACTGTCAGTCCTGGCTTGGAGACCGTTTGTGCAGGCTCACTATCCTGCGACAACAGCGTTTTTTTGCGTTTGACTATGCGACGTAAGTGCTCCACTTTTCATCAGCAGTCACTATCCGTTTCAGAAATGGATCGAGTTTTTCCGTCTGAGCAGCGATTCGCTAATGGGAATTTGATCAATTTGGTTTTTTCTCATTTACTCACGTGGCATCCACACATTGAGCTTCTGGGCGTATCGAGCTTTTTTTTTTAAGTAGTTGCAAACTGAACGAAATCAACGAACCAAAAATTTTGCATGATTCACTCACTATGAAGAAGTTCGAAGATCTCTGTGTGTTTGCTATGCCCAATCCACCAAAAGCGCGATCTCGCAATCTGTTTGACTCTTATCAGTAAAGTACTATTCCAATAGTAATAGATGACTTTTTGCTTTACCTAAATTTGATTTGACAAAGTTATCGCTACTGAAGAAGAAATAAATTTGTAATTTGATATTAAAATATTGTCAGTGAAGTTCTGTGTTTTGTTTTTCAACACATTACTGCGTTTAATCCCTTTTCACAGCTGTCTTCCATAGGAACTCAATTGGAATAAAGTCCGGAGATGTTTTGGGTAAATCCATTAACTAAATATAATTCCACTGGATTTTGATTTTAGAATTTTAGTAGATTTAAAGTATCATACATACATGCCTGCCAATATTGTTTCAATTCTGTTGATTAATGCTTTAAATGTTCGAAATTGAGTCAAGCGAGAGGTTTGGTATTTATCGCAATCAGCCATCACAAGTGTGACTTTAATTGCACTATGTTGCCGAATCAACACGATTTTCGTACTTTTAAAAATTACCGTTATATAGAAGGGGAGCGTGAATTTTGGCCGATTGCAATAGCGTCCGTACTTGTAATCCAAGGAATGTGTTAACCAAGTTTCATCAAAATGTCTAAATCTTTTCTTGAGTTATCGTGTACTCAGACGGTTGGATGGACCGACAGTAGCCATGTCGCTTTTTCATGAAATTTGATACATATATTGTACATATATATGTCCATACCTAGAGATATATGTATCTTCGATCATTTTGTACTATTACATTCATCAGCGGATACAGTACATAATTAAAGTCGATTATAAAAATCTAGCAACAACGGACCGAGCTGATCAATAACGAAGGCGTGATGATCCCTCATGATAAGAGCTCGCACCTCTTTGGTAAACTCTCAAAACTCTATCGGGAACTGATGGCTCATTTTACTCATTTGTCATTCTCTATCACCGTATCATTTTTTTCAAAAGCTTTTGTATAGAAAAAAGTTCGTTTCCTGCTCAGGCTGGTATAAATGAGTGGGAACATTTTTTTTAACTTCATGGAATGTTTAAAAAAGCAAATAAAATCATTATCAATAATTAGAGCAAGTCACAAATAGTTTTTAAAGTATTTTATTTAAAGTATTTTGTTGAAATTTTCACTAGGAAAAATTGAATGATTGAGCATTAAATACTAGAAACTTGATTCCTTCCAATATGCGAAATCGTCAAGAAAAAAATGTAATCAATCCGATATGAGATTATATAAAAGTTTTAAATTTACTCCGACTCATCGCAGGTCAAGCACATGATCCAAATACACTGATTTTTCCCAATCATATATACAATACATATGTACATGTACCTATACAATTTCTTCTTTAAAACATACTAATGGCGTTTTTTTTCTCCTTTTTTTCAGTTTAAGTGAAGAAAAAACCAAATGCCAAACCAATTTTTGGTTGTGTTGGAAATACAAAGAAAGGACAAGCGGAGAAACACAATATATAAAAAACAACTACAATTGACTGCAAATTATTTTTAAATCCACAATACTAAAAACAACCTGTTCTTCCTATTCGATAATGAGATGCTAAATAAAATATTTTATATTATATGAAACTTTGTCGTCCAGCAAAAAGTTCGAAATGTTGATAACAAAAACAAAAAGCCTACTCCACAAGATGCCACCACCGTTTTTTGGAACATACAAACAACATATTTATTATACACAAATATTTATTTTCGTATATACATACAAACAAACATATTGTACTGAGACTAAAATAAAGTAGCCAAATGAGAAAATGAAATCTAAAAACAAAAAAAAAACGAAAACAAAAACAAAAAATATTTATTCTAACAGGAAAAAGTGCAAAGAAAAAAAGATTACAAAATGAAAGAAAAAGTAAAATCCCAAATAAATGTTTTAAAAGTTAATGAGAAAAAAGCATTGCTTGTTAAAATTATGTGTGAGACATACATATATTTGTATGTAGATTTAAGTAAATAACTAGGTTAAGGAATATTACAAAAAAAAGTACTAATTATATGCTGTAAATGGAAATTATGTGCTAAACGGAATTTAAAAAATGTATATACACACATACAAACACCGAACACACACTTTTAAGGACACACCCACATAATCAGTGGCATTTTGTGCGACTTTTTTTTTACTATAATGTATATGTATGCATATATAAAATATATTTACAACAAAAAAACTTTATCTTATCTTTTATGTATGTTTATAATGAATTTAAATATATTTACATACATACATATACTTTCTACTACAGCTTAATAACCTTTTACCTTTACCTTTAAAGTAAATCCCAATAAAGTTTATAAAAAAAAAATATTTATGAGAGAAAGCTGAACCTAAAAAATAAAATAAAATTCCAAACTATTTTTTAGGATTAAATACAATAAATACAACATTAGCTGTAAGTTAAAAAAAAAATAATAATGAAAATAATAGTGATTTTAATTTTATTAGTTATTTGCTGCTAACTACAATAAAAGTAAGATGTGAAATATGGTTGCGCTTTTAGCCCACTACTCTTAATATAATTAAATATTATTGTCTTTTTGTCGCATTGTATTCTATGGTATGTAAAGAAAACAAAAAATGAAAATGAAAAAAAAAATAAAACAAAAAAAGTGTTAAAAGCATCTTAAATATATAAATTTTGTGCTTATTATTATTAACAACAAATATTTACCAAATGTAAAAAAATACAAAAAAAATAATATTTGCACACACATACATAAATAAATAAAAATAATGCAACTTTTCTTTTGATGCCTTGCAAAAATTTGTCACATAACCAGTCAGTTTATGGAGAGTTGAGAAAAAAACACATATCGCAAAAACTCAAAGCCATTAATTATGTATTTTTGCAACTAAACTGTCTGAAATGTTTTAAAGAATATCTCTATCGTATGTACATGTGAAATAATTCCCTACCTTCAACTAAATTATGTAAAATTTTATTTCTTTGAAAAGCTTGATGGAAATATTTTTCCATATTTATATCGTATTCTCAATAAAAAAATGTGTAATTTTAGATTTAGAAACTATGTATATTATGTCTAATTATGCCGACATTAATATGAGTGAGCAGTATATTTTTTGACTGTAAATTTGGATGAAAAGTACAAGTGTATAGCTTAATATTTAAGTAAAGTCAATCAAGAGATGTTACATAGTACATGGAAGTACTGTTGAATAAGTTGGAGAGGCAATTTCATATATAATAGATTTAGTAGAATGGTAACATTGTGAATGAAAACAGAACTTTTTCTTTTTGCATTTCGTTTAATTTAGTTCACTGATTAATGTCTAATAATTATCCGGCTATTAATTATTGTGTCCGCTAAGCTATTTCATATTCTTGCAAGCATTTAACTATAGATTTTTCATTTTTGCAAACTAATTTAATACGATGTGAAGTCAGCAGGAAAAGTTAAATTTATTTTATTTGGAACTCAAGTTGAAATTAATTTTTTTTAAACTAACTTTAAGGGACCCAACCAGTGTGAAAGCAAAAAATGTGATTATTTATTTTTTTTTTAAGAAAACTTTGCCATTTGTTATTTTACAGTATCAAAGACATATTATTTGTCTATAAATAAGGTATCCTTACACATATTTTTTGTTTTTCAAACGAAAATCTTGTATTTTCTACGAGATATGCGCTATGCCGCGGAGGTCCGAAAAAACAAGTTTCCATTTTGCTGTCATCCTAGCTGCCTTCAGAGTAACTGAAATGATAAAGACCGAAAAAATGCATTAAAAAGCATTGTATGAAATATAAAGTGACCACGATTGAGGTAAAAAAAAAATGAGATACAACAAAAGTTAAAATCTAGCGATCGGCTAATTAATTATTAGTAACATTGCTTCGAGAAAACCGCTTTTGGAAAACACTTACACTTAAACTAACGATCTCACGCGTTTCAGAATTACTCCGAAACTATTATAGTTCCGCATGTGGGGTCGAAATATGTTTTTTTCTTTTTTTTTTTTTGAAAACTATAAGTTACCGAAGAATGTCGAAAAAATCGATTTTTTGCAATTGTCTCACTGACTGAGTCCCTTTAAAAAAAAAATTAGTTGAATTTTTAATTCAATTGCAATAAAAATAAAAATATTAACGTGACTCACTACTTAAAAATAATACAAAAAAATTATACTAATTTCATTCACACGAAAAATACTTAAAAACAAGGCATTTTTTTTCTTTTTTATTTTTTTTTTTTTTTTTTTTTTTTTTTTTTTTTTTTTTTTTGTGGAATAAGTTACCTTTTGAAGCTAAATTTTTTGTTATAAAGTGTTTATTAATTAAATTGATTTTTTATATTGAAATTAACTTATTTTTTCTATTTATTATTCCTTTTTAATATATTTTTTTATTTTCCTTTTAAGTTTTTTTATTTTTAACAAAAAGTCGAATTTTCATAAATTTTATTTTAATACTATGTTCGTCCGCATAACACAAGTTTTAGATGAACCATTTAAAAAAAAAAAAAACTACTTGAAACTGAACGGAAATTATTGGAAAAACAAAAATACTAACGAAACACAAGAAAAACATCATGAAATAAAAACTTATGTTGGAGTTGATTTTAGTTAAAGAAAAAAAAATGTTGGGTGTTATTATAAATTATAAAAGAAAGAAAAAAATTTATGGAAAATTTATTATTAATTATATTAATTTTTGTTTAAGCCTGCTAATTTTATATCCAAACAATACTTACTTTATTTCCATGAAATATGCCAAGTGCATATGCATATTTATACTTATATATTTTTTCCTGCTGACATTACAACTGCAAATAATGCTTAAAAAAATTAAACAAAAACAAGAAAAAGAGGAAAATCAAAAAACAAAACAAAAAAAGTTAAAATTAATTGTGTCGTTCTGCCTGAAAAGTGCTTAAAAGCGCTAATACATAAATAATGTTTATCGAATTTCTAGTTTTCTTTCAACCAAATTCATAATTGTAAATATTTAAATGTAATGAATTGATCGTTCTGTTAGTTAAATATCGCACAGCAAATGCTAAAAATCAAAAGCAAAAAAAAAAAACGCAAAAATATCATTAATGAATAAAAGCAAATCAAATACGTATATACATATATAGATAAATACATCTACATATGCATAAAATATAGTTGGTAAAAACGTTAAATCATGACTCAAATATTAGCAAGAATCTATATACATATATACATACATACATATATAGATACATATTTTACAAATTTTTGAAACTCTCAAAATGAATCAAACATATATTATATTATTATGTTATAGTACACACTTACATACATACATATACATAAACATGCATAAATATATTTATAAACATAATTTATTAATATTAATAGCATTATCCGCTTCACAAACATACATACGAGTATACATATATATATACGCATGAAAACATATTACTTTGCCTTGAACTACGCGCCGTCATTATTATTTTAAATCAGAATTTATGTTTCTCTCTTTTTCTCTCAATAAATTCATTTCAAATGCTAACAAATATAAGTTTCATATAAAATATTTTTATACACGCTGCATACGAGTATTTATGTATAAGTGTAATTTTCTTTTATTCCCATTAAAAACTACATTATTAGTTACGTGCATTTTAGTCATTTTAATTTTATGCAAAAAAAAAAAAACAAACAAACAAAATTCTGATGATTTAGCAAATTTGATTTTTGAATTTAATTTTTTTTCTTAATTTCAACACCATAGTTTAGTTTAATTTAGTATTTATAAGCAGAAGAAAAGACGTAAATGTATTTTTATAATATTTGCTTTATGCGCTCTCTCTTTCTCTCCCTCTCGCTATCTTTCTCTTTTACTATTACTATATCTTTTACGCCTTAAGAAAGTAAGTCTTTTCAATTTACGCTCGCTCTTTAATTATAATATCAATTATTGAATAAATCAATAAAAACAATCAATTTACAAGTATGATAAATGTATTTTTGTTGTTTTATTTCCTTATAAATTTTATGGGATAAACACCCTGCAAGAACGGACTGATGGGTTGACCAATACACTCACACGATTTCGGGCAGCACTAACACATAATCATTGCTTTTAACATTTCCATGTTGTACGGAAAGATTAGCTAATGGAGCAGTTTGACTGTAATGGACGCTTCTCATCTTGCTGCAGTAGCAGATTTAAAAATATTCAATAAAACTGCGCAACGTACAACTGCATTTAGACATTTTTTTCCACTTAGATGTCTTTATACTTCAAAGGAGCTGCGATTATGACGAGACGTTCGTGGAGCTGAGAAGCTGCGACACTAATAAAGACTTCTTCTGTATATGCAGTTTTGCTTATAATATTTTGCTGATGCTTGTACCGAATTTATTGTTTTTGGAGAATATTGTGGGAGTGACTGTAGCAGGAACTTTCGGATTTTAGTCGCCTCTTACGAAAAACACTATTTATTTACATTTTGTTGTTGTTGCAGCCGCAAAAATATGCCCTAAAATAGTTTTTTGGGAATGCTCTAAAATTCCTCTCGATTCTTTGCAAAATTTAATCCGTTTGAGGTTATTTTCAATAAAATGTAGTCCATATTGGGCGGTATTTCAGCCATAACTTGACGAATCTTGCGCACAACCCAATCCAACACAATCGTTTGCGTAGTCCAACGGTGCCAAATAACATGATCTCGAAAGTCAATTGGCATTACCCAGATGAGAGATTACGCAGCCGGAAAATTTCTCTCGTAATAAACCTGTATTCGTGCGTGTTGTGTGGCATGTAGCACCATCTTGTTGAAACCATATATTGTCCAAGTCGTGTTCTTCAATTGCAGGCTAAAAATAATCATTTATCGTACGACCATAATGCCTCCGCTGTCATTTTTAAAGAAGTGAGGTCCCATTATACCACCGGATCAAAGAGCGCACTAGACAGTATTTTTTTTTAGTGTAATGGCCTCTCTACTCACCAAATGCAACATTTTTTTAGCTTTCGTATCCCCAAAGCGAAGAAAATTCGGATCGAAAAATCGCCGTCCACTACTTGCTGTTTAAAAACCTCATCGACGTATATACGGCATTATGAATGTGTCAGCTGTCTTCAATTGCTATATGAGCTGGTATTTGTATCGTCGTAGGTTTAAGTCCAAGTGCAAAAGTGCTTTAAAAGAGCCTCACTTCTTGAGGATGTCGAGAATTAGACTCATTCGGGCCTTCGGCTACACTTTCATTATATTAGCAATATTTGAGGCGAAGACAACAAACCGGAGATTCGCAGGCCTTACAAAATCTGTAGCCAATCTGGTCTCTATCGAACCTGGCGCTCTTTGAATCACTATTTTTGTAGTAAATTTTATAAATTTTAAGGTTGATGAGCTATTCATTTTCATAAGTGCCTGACTTTTAACTAAAACAAAGCAAAACAGAAGACTTTCGCCAAACCATTTTCTTGAATACTTCTAGAGTTGACCTACAGAATTTTGTCAGTGTACACATTTTTGATTAGCTTTTGAACGTCATTAGAGGAATTCAGGATTTATCATATTTAAACATTTCTGATCGCGGAAATCAACACAGAAAATGAAAATTTGAATCTTCTAAATTTAAGTTACTCGGTATAACCATAAGGTTTAAGCAATTGATTGAGACAGTGAATTTTAATTTGCTCTCCTCTGGGTGGTTAGACTAACCACAAAGAAAGGAGGAGATATACGGCGAGAACATTTATATTTGACTCTTTCGTTCAATCTATCTGGTTACCCTTTTCATCATTTGCGGAAAGGATTATCGACTCGATCTGAATGTCAAATTCGAGGAAGCGAAAACTACTACTGTACACAACCCATATTGGGGACGATATTTAACAACCTAACCGCGCAAACGACTCCCATTAACACCTAAATACAGAGCCCCATCTAAGAAAGAAAAAAAGAAAAGGAATGCGCGTCATTGTCAACTTAAAAGACCATCGGTCGGTCGGTCGGTTCAAAATACCTGAGCTGAGGCTTGTCCGAACAAGAGAAGGTTGGAGGTCATGATGCGGGGAATTTCATGTTGGAACTTAAGGTCTGAGCAGGTCTTAAAGTGGCTACATCCAACCGAAGTGGAAGAAGAGTTAAGTCGTCTTCGGTAACAGAAATATTTCGCCCTGTGTTGGGGTAAACCAACTTAGGTCGCCGAAAAAGCGACCGCTCTTTGGCGGATAAAATTCGGTTCAACTGCAGTACGTAGTAGAACTGGCTGTAGTGAGTGTTTAGTTTGACTGTGATGTCAGCCTTCTCCTTTACAATGACATCAACCGGCTCGCTAACGTAACTTTCAAAATTAAGAGACCGTAGTTTCCAGGAGCATACCCTCATAGCGCGATCCTTAAAACGTTTGCAGGAGTCGTCAGCAGATGGAGAGTTTCACACCCTAAGCACGAAATTATATATAGGGTTATCCCTTTAATGGTTTCAAAAGTACAGAATTTTGAAAGCTGTATAACTTAGCTGTCAAACCAAACATGTTTAATTTTAGTTAAAAGTCACACATTTTTGAAAGTGGACCGCTAAAGAAGAAGTCGCAATACTCAAGCAATTGATAAAATATTGAGTAAATTTGAATGGACTGGACCGGCTAGAGGTATTGTAAGGCCTGTGCATCACCGTTTTACTGGTTCCTCTATAAATGAAATTATAGCCGAAGACCCGAATGGGTCTATTTCCCGACGTTCTCAAGATCTTGCACTTTCTTACGGACTATATAAAGTCCAGCTCACACAACAACTGAGGCCAGCTGACATTTTCTAACGCCGTACACTCAGAAGATATTGAAATAATTATCCCATTTGGGAGACCATTACATCAAAAAAAACTTATTGCCTTGTGTTCTCTTTGGTCCGGAGATGTGATTGGACCTTACTTATTTGAAAACGACAGCGGCGAGACTGTCACTGTCAATTCGAAGTGATTTTTGTGGTTTCAGCGCTATGGTTACACATGCCACATAACACGGATTATTATGGCTTTATTACGAGAAAAAATTCTCGGCCGTCACGGATTATTATGGCTTTATTATGAGAAAAAATTCTCGGCCGTTTAATCTTTTTTCGTCTCAGCGATGTCAATTGACGACAGAGAACGTTGGACTGTGTTTTGTGGGGCTATGCGTAACATCGTTTTTATGCGGATAAACCTTTAACTCTTAAGCACTTGAAAACCAACATTCGTTGTCTGATACCGCCCAATATGTGCCAAAAAGTGGTCGAAAATTACTTCGAAAGTGTCAAGATTGGGGAAAATTCACGAGGCGGTCATGTGAGTGATGTAGTGTTTCACTTATAATTTAATGCCAAGATTCAAATTTTATAATAAAAAAGAAATATCACGAAAAAGATTATTTTAAGTGCGTTTTGAAACGATCTGCCGTGTTCCTAATCCCAATTTGTGTGCAACTTCTAATTTTTTTTCTAACAAATGGATGAATCTACAATTTATTCTAAGCCGCCTCCGAACGGCTGATGCTTTTTACGACGGCCTTGCGTATCATTTCAGAAATACACTTGGAGAGCTTTACAATCTCAGACAAGTGTGGTGAACGCATTTCGAAAAATTAAATTTCTTTATTTATGGATATTGGCCGAAGCAGGACTCGGAACACTGACCCACCGGACGGCAAAACGCAATGCTAACTACTTGGTGATTGCTACCACGATATTATTAATATTCTAATCTCCATAGTGCGACAAAAGGATTATGAAATAATAGGAATTGAGAGACTGTAATTGTAATGCTTCAATTCACTAAACAATTTATTTTTATTTTTCAAATTTCCCATCATAATTGGAAGCGTCCATTATTATGTAGATTTTCTTCAATTAAAAATACAATAACAACTTTTATTAAAATTGCTTTCTTTATTTTTATATATAATATATAATATGTAAATATGTACTAAAGGCAATATAATATTGCATTTTGTTCAAATAAAACTGAATGACTACAATGATATGCAATTTTTGTTTAACTTCATAAGGCAATATAACTACATATTCCGAAAGCTGTCAAACGAAAAAACGAATCGAAATACTTTTTTAATACATATTTTTAAATTTGTTTTTTCTTTTTGTTAAAAATGTAAATTTATTTTTTAATTTGTTGTCTATCAAATGTTGAGCCGCTAAAACGACTACAGGCACTTATGCACTTACATAAATTTAACGCTAACTAATACATACATACATACATCAAATACTTTTTATAACTTTATTAACAATTAGGCAAATCATACAAGTATTTAAATGTTTGCTAAATGAGCTTTTTAAAAGCATTTGAGCAAAATTTGAAAACGGTTCACAATTAATACATGATCATTTGTTTCTTGCAGTTGTTGTTTTTTTCAATGATAGAGGTAAAAAAAAAAATCTAAGCATTTTGTGATTTGTAAAATAATTGCTATAATTCCTATAATGATTGGGTTTAATGATATGGATATAGTTTAGAGATGTACAGTGATAATGATAGCATTTAACAGTTGGTTTAAGCTTAATTAGCGTATAACGTGTTATAAATTTCAATGCGGCTCTTTCATAAATTTTCAACATTTAAACAATAAATTGTTTCGTAATTGACTTAATTATCATAATTTATTTAGTTTGTATGGTTAGTTATCGGTCAGTCACTTTTTTCTTAGATGGAAGCACCATATATTATATTATTTATTTATTTAGTATTATGTATGTATGTTTTAAAATGTATTGCATATAAAGCTGCTTAATTATTAGCTATCATTTATCGCATATTTTTAGTTGTTCGTTCATTGCATACTCTTCGCTTTTCGCTTTTCGTTTATCTTTTTTTGCTTATTTTTGTTTTTTGTTTTTGTATGTTTGTATCATATAAATATAAATATCGTTACTTAACAGTTAAACATGCTTTGTTGTAAATTTTAAAAATTACCAATACGCATAGATTTTTCGTTATCATTGCTTTTCAAGTATTTTCATTTATAACTATTGCAATTTAGAATTGCTTCAATTTCGTAATAATGGCCTCAAGAGTGTGGTAGGGTGTTTTTGATTATTATTTTGAGTTGATTGATAGCCAATATTTGGCACTCAAATTAAACGTGTACGCTTTAAATAGGTTATGAGTAGACTATAAATAAATTTATACTGCGCTAAGGACGGTATTATGCTATCACGCTGATGTCGTAGTTGACCAATAACGCGTGGTATATCCAAATCCTGCAAGTTTACAAAAGGAAACATATATAATCTTAGTACAAACAGTTGTAGAAATATAAACACAATATTTCCACCTCCAACGCACTCACCTCATTATGATCCAGCGTATAGAGCAATAAATCAGCGGTCAACGTTACGCCCGAGCGTCCACCACCCTCAAGACAGTGTATCAACACTGGCGGATTGGTATTATGTCCGGGTGGCACTTCGTTAATCGAAGCCATGCGCACAGAATTTAACTCTTCGAGAAAATCCAAAAAGTGATTCACCTCAAGTGGACAATTCTGTTCACCCCAATTCGTGTAGTTCAAATGCCATACGGAACGATAGCGACGCGATGGTATATGAAACAGACGCAATTTGCTGGTAATACAACGATCTGTGGTTTGCGAGAATTCCTGATACACTTGGAACTGTAATAAAGGGGTTAAAAGAGAAAAATTATTGAATTATATTAGAAGTCTTATCATTCAAGGAGTAAAGCCGCGCTAGGATTTTGGAAAACGCAATTTTTTTTTTCTTTTCCTCACAGGGTACCTTTTGGTTTTAGAAATGATAAGAAATTGGTTTTAAAGTGTAAAAAACATTTCAAATAGCTGAACTTTTTATTCTGCTGCAGCCTCTCAGAACGTGCGTTGAGTACAATGAAAACTTTAAAAGGGGTTTTTCTCAAAATCACATTTTTCAAACTGGGATGAGAGATTATTCAGACCCTATTGCATCGATTTGTCTGAATTTTTATGGTAGCTTCGCAAATAAATGTTACTTTTTTTAATAATTAAGAGCGTATTTTTTAGTCAAAAATAATCTCTTTAAAAAATTGTTCCGCTTTCATAAGAATTTTCTTAAAAAGGACCTTAGTTTATAGATCATAAAATTTATTGCCTTTCTGTTTTAGATCTCATCCTTTAGCAAAAATCGGTCCTCCCGTGGACGCCTTTCGAAAAAAACATGAATTAAATAATGGACTTTATCACGCCATTTTGTAACAAAATAATAAGTAAAGAATATTTTTCTTAAATTCAATGTATGCTCAATGAAATGGTTAAATAGAAATTCTATTCCTTTTCCCATATTCATGCAATCATTTTTTAAAAATTAGTCTATTTTTCAATCTCTAGAGTGACTTTAGCCCTTTTTCACTTTTTACTTCACAACTTACTTGATCAAACTCCAGTCGCTGATTGCTATTCGGTGGCATATAATTTAAGCCCTCAGATAGCTTTACAATCAAATAGACATCAGCTTCCCAAACACATTGCCAGAAGATATCTGTGGTTATTTTCTCCTGTGGCGATTGAGCAATTATATAGAATCGTTGTTTCGTGCCAACTGTAGCCTGTAATATATATGTATGAAAGATTTATATGCTAACTTTGTAGAAAAAAATTAATAAAAAAAAATTAAAAAAAAAAAAAAAACAGAATGAGTTACATGTAGAAAGCTAAAATGTGGCTCGCATAGTAATTACCCTTCGAAATAGGAAGAAGAATTGTGCGATTTTGAAGATATGTTTCGCTATTGCAATGGAAAATTGAATATTAAAACGCGAGGCATGCGTAAAGTCGATAAAATATATAAGAAGTGCCTCACAAAGTAAGATTTGCATAGAAGTTATCATTTGGTATCCTCTCGCTTTAATTCGGTTTGGCATTCTTCTTTTGTTGTTATACGGTTCGACATTTTAGGATTAAATTAACCCAACTGATATCATCGAGTTTATCTAACACGGTACCCAGGGTACGAACTGTTCATCGAGTTTAGATAGAACAATGATAATGGCACAGTCGAGCCTACGAGTTTCTGTTGACCTTTATTTCTCCAATATTACTAAGGTTTGACGAGGCAGCTTAAGCTTTTATTCTACCATTCACGCGAAGAGAGTTTAAGAAGGCATTGATTGAGACTCTCAGAATGAAATTCGAGATCCACTTATTACTTGATCATTGGTTCTTTTAGGTGCTGCTTAATTAAATCTATGAAGGTGGTGCTCAGGCGATATAATAATGTTCCCTGCAGTGAGGTCTGAGACTGGATAGGATAACGAGATCATATTCATAGAAGTAAATATTGTTTTTGGCTTACTCAACCAGGGGCAGGCAAAGTTAATGTAATATGATTTGAGATGAGATAGGGATTTTATTTGGCCTACGGCTGCGTAATTTCTGTTTAAGCAACACATAAATTTAGTTTATGCACGACAAAGGAGCAACAACCTTACGTGACCCGTTACGACGTACGGTCGTTCCGGTATGAAGATCGAACTGTAGCGGGAATTTTTGGGTTTTTGTCGCCTCTCCCAGCATGGTGCAGTCATAGGCTTTACGTCATTGCCTTCAGCCCGATTACCCTCTTTGGATAACCATCCACAGACCTTCACAACAGCGCTACCCCAAGCAGTTAGTTTTGTTAAGCTGGATATCTAATGTACCGGTCCAAATACTTAACTCGAACAATTTTATATTTATTTTCTTACCGAAATGCGAGAAGCATTTACATATCCCGTTTTATTTTCCCACGTTGGCGTTATACACACACGATTATCATCGTAGGGCAAAAAATTTGGATCGGAATTTTTCTTAGCGTTTTCCTCCATTAACGCGCAAGCGTATGTAGCATTTTCACGTCGTTTTGGTATACTTTCGAATTCCATGAAGAGTTGCGGATCATTTAATTTCTCCGTAAGTATGGGACACTAAAAGTATGGTGAGAAATTGATTATTTGCATTTTTTTCTGAAATTTTTCATTGCGAATTTTTAATTAAATCAAAAATAGTCTGAAATTTCCAAGTGATTAATTAATAATGATCACTTGCTCACCAATTTTTCCTTCGAATATTGGCCGGAAATCGGCTGCAGTCGCGAAACGCCCGTCGACCAGCGATGCATCAGATTTAAATCATCTTGTGCGAGCTTAATTTTCGCCGCTGTCTTTGAAGCATTCGACGATGATGCCTTCTCCCGACCGAGCGTTGCGGATTTCTGTTTATCCGGTGTTTTACTGCGACCCAAAATATTCCATATCTTCCTGCGTTTGCCCTCCTTGCCGGTAGTATTGGACGAATTTGTTGTGTTGGAGCTGTTGGTGGTGGTGTTGCTCGAATTGGCAGTTGTGTCTAAAAGTGATGAGTTATATGAGCGATGATGAAGTTGCTGATGGTGGTGCGACGAAGAATGCTGCATGGTGGCCGCTCCCGAAGATGAAGGATTAGATGAAATTGAAGATATATTCATGGCACTGAATTGATGCTGCGCTGCGAGCAACATTGAGTCTGTCGAGTCATCGTGCAGGGCGGAGGATGTATGCGCACGTGTACCCATACTGTTAGGAGGTGTGGTAATCTTCGAGGTCGCACCTGTGCCGTCCACAGAAGAAACAGAGGAAGCACTCTGCATGAGCTGCGTCTTGTGAGCGTGATGGTGTTGTCTTGGTGGCGGTGTTTGCATTATTGGCTGTGGCTGGTGTGCATTGTTGCTATTGCTGCTATTATGCCCAATTGCTGGTGCTGCAGAGGCCGCACGAATTGCACGCTGCGGTGGTGTGGGTTCTAAGTACTGTACCTCCGTGCTGGCTGCGCGTTCAGCGTATTTATGAATGTTGTGTGCAGCTGCTGCAGCAGCTGCTTCAGCCTCCGCATGTTGTTGTTGTTGCTGAGCAAGTGCCTGAGCTTGCTGGTGCTGTAGAAGAGCTTGTTGCTGTTGCTGCTGTTGTTGTTGTTGAAGCGCTTGTTGCTGTTGCTGCTGCTGCTGCTGCTGATTGTGGTGCTGTTGATGATGATGATGATGGCGCACAGCAGGCACCGGCGGCATTTGCTGTTGCGCATGTGTACCACCCGGCGCAGATTGTATAGAGGCGGTACGATTGCGCATCGCTTCACTTGTTGCCGACGAACCCGACAAACGTTGTTCCATATTCCGTTGCACCGTCGGCTCAGTAGCGACGTAACGCGTATGTGGCACATTCTCGTAAATCGGTTCAGTTGAATCGTTTAGTGTGTTGCGATGCAGCGAAGCGTTGGATGTGTGCATTTGCAACTGTTGTTGTTGTTGATGTTGCTGCTGCTGCTGCTGTTGATGTGTTTGTGACTGCGGTGTCTGCGGCAGCGGCGGTTGACCAGGCACTTGTGTTGGCGTTTGACGGTAAATGTTGTTACCATTATTGGCATTATTGGCGCTGTTGGCCAAAGTTGCCGAGTTTTGTTCATTATAGCTAGGTGTCAGAAAGAGGCAATCCTGGCGTAGTTGCGACAATATGGACGGTTGCTCTTCAATCATATTCAAATTCTCAAAAGTGCCATGCGGCAGATATGGTTGCGAATGACCCATATGCCCACCTCCTATGTAGGAGGCATGCGGATGTATTAATGCATGATTGGTTGCAGCTACACCGCCCGCTGCCTGCGCCGGGCCCACACTACTACTGTGCATATATGGATATTGTGGGTTGGGCAAATTACGATTTGACACCAAATCCGGCGATGAGCCAGAAACATATGAGCGATAACCCATCAGCGGCCGATGCGAGGCGACAGCTAAGTCTGGTGTGGAGGAAGAATTCAGGCGATTGACAGGATAAGGTGGCGGCGGTTTACTACGCACCATTTGCAGGCGATGCCCCAAGTCAATATATGCGCCACCACCACCGCCACTAACGCTATTACTGTGACCACCCGGTGCCATTGTAACACCCGCAGCTGTTAGGTGATGATGATGTTGTGCATGCATTGCAGCGGCTGGCTGCGCTACGTCGGGGTAACGATGTGGGGCTAGTTGACTTAGTAGCACACCATCACCATAAATCGCAGCCGCATTATGCACATCAGGCTGTGAGCCGGCATAATAGATAGCTCCACCTACAGTGGACGCTCCTCCACCAACAGCAATAGCAGAAGCACTTGACGCCAGCTGCGCTTGGTAGTTGGCATAATTGTTCATTTGCGGATGATGCAATTCGCTGGCTGGCGTGTGATATTTTAATTGCACTGCCGTCTCATAGTCTGGCGCGGGTCGATAAGTGGGTAGCATGGCCTTGAGTCGTTCACGCTCGTGTGCATCCACACTGTGCACTGCGACGCCGCTGCTGTTGTTCGTTACGCTGCCTCCCAAATGTCCGTGTACAATATTATTGCTGCTGCTGTGGAAATTGCTGCCACCGCTAATATTATTGCCATTATTGTTGCTTAGATCCAGGCAGGAACTGCTCTGCTGCAAACGCGTATCCAACATGCTATTCGACAGATGCTGCGTTGAAGCGTAATCATGTCCATACTCCTACAAGAATATTCAAGCAAATAAATATATGTATAAATATATATCATTAACTAATTATTTATCACATATGTATTTACATACGAGTTACGTATATATGTATGACTCACCTTCGCCAACCAACTTGGTGCGATAGCACCCACACTATGCGAATGCATAGCGCCATTCGGCCCGCTAGCAACTCCCCCACCACCACCACCACCAGACTGATGACTGGCCGCCAGCGAAATGTTAGACGACATTAACGCATTTGACGCATGTGTTGACGCAAGCAAACCATGATGTAATGCGGGCGCTGACATGAATTCCGGATTAACAGTTGAAAGTGCGCCACTACCACCACCCACACCACCGCCACCGCCAACACCGATACTGCTTGCTAAAGCATTGGGATTGTAAATGGCACGTTGTTGTTGTTCGAGTAGTAGATCTTCACGTGAATCATTGAAGTCACCATAAGCGTACGCATCCATACCACCAGTTAATACGCCACCACCGCCACCACCACCAGCTACACTCATTGAATTACCATTCGCACTCTCTGCATCACCCACAGACGACGCTGACTCTTCATCTATGTAGCGTTTAAAGAACTTATGTTGGGTTATGCACAATTTCCAAAAGTAACGTGCCGTTTCAGCGTCTGGGAATATGAACGAACCGACAATTGAACCGTCCGCTTTGTTTTGTTCGATTTTAATGGTACGTTTATCGATGGAAACTGTTTGTGACTCTTTCCAGGGGAAATATTGACGCCCATTATCGGCCATCACCACCATGCCGTTGATAGCAAGACCGAGTAAAAGATCATTACCCAATGTGTCTTTCGCGGGGAAGCGCTCTTCCCCATAACCGTCCAATTGCTGGCAGCACTGTATGTACATCTCTTCAGCCTTGGATTGCTGCAAATGTTGAATGCCTGCGTTCTGTTGCAGCACCTCCATAATGAGGCTGTCGAGCAGGTTGTCATCGTTGGCAAGACCTAAAAGATAATAAAAATTGATATAACATTAAGCCAAAAAAAATTATTAAATATAAATATTTATTTATTAAATTTAATAAATAAAAAATTTAATGATTTTAAAAAAATAGTAAAAATAAAACCAAATGAAAAAATTAAATAAAAGAAACTAAATAAATTAAGCCAAAAAAAAAATTTTAATAAAAATTAAAGAATAAGACAAAATCAAAAATTAAATTAAAATAAGATATAATAAAAAAATTAATTAAGGCAGAAATAAAATAAAAATATAAACAAAAATAAATAAAAATAAGATAAAATTCAAAGCAAGAAAAAAAAAAAAAAATTAGAAAGTAAAAATAAAATAAAGATGCAAAAAAAAAAATATTTTAAAAATAGTTAAATAAATAAAAATAAAAAACCGAAGTAAATAAAAAAAATTAAATAAAATATATTATATATATATAAATATAAATAAAATAATAATAATAAAACTAAAAGAAAGCAATTAAAATAAAATTATAAATAAAGTATTCAAACAAAATTAATTAAAAAAAAATTAAACAAAACAAAAAATTAGGTAAGAAAGGTAAGTAAAAAAAATAAAGAAAAAATAAAATAAAATGACACAAAAAAAAAAAACAAAATGAAAAAATTAAATAGAAAAGAAAACGAAAATAAAAAAAATAAATAAAATAAATAAATAATAAAATTAAAATCAAATATAATAATAAAAAAAAAATTAATTATAATAATAACAAAAAAATAATAAAAATAAAATCAAATAACAATAAAATAAAACAAACGGAAAAATTAAAATAAATAAAGGAATGAAATAAAAAAATTGAAGGGATACAAAAAAAAAACTAAAATGAGATTGATTTAAATATAATAAAATAAAAAATAGAGAGGATAAAAACTAAATAAAAACAAATCATAATACAACAAAATAAAATAAAATACAACGAAATAACAAAATAAATAAGAAAAAATAACAATAAAAATGTAAAAACAAAATATAATCAATAACAAGAAAGAAATATAAAAAATGTAACGAAATAAAGTAAAATAATAAGGTAAAAAAACGAGACAAGAGAAAAGAAAGTATAGCAAAACAAAGTACAAATAAAATTAATTTTAATTAAATTAGCATGATTAAGAATTAAAAATTGAAATATAACAAAAAAATTCATAAAAAATAAATAAATAAATGTGCAAAATATAACAAAATGAAAATAAAATAAAATATTATATACTATATGTATGTATGTATTTAATATTTTATTTCATTTTCGCCTTACCTTACCTTGTAAATTTTTCGGCAGCACAAGTGACTTCTTCAAATTATCCTTCGTCTGTTTGTCATTTTGATGACTATCATATTCGGCTTGTCGACAATAGAGCGCTAATAGTATGGCAGTGCGAATGTCGCAGATAATTTTACCCTCATAAATATCACTTTTTAATTGTAGAAAATAATAACAACGCGTCAAGTCATCGCTACGCAAAGGGTCCACGTAGTGTCGTACTCGTAAATATATTTTCGTACTGGCTGCATATTTTTCTAGCTGTCTGCTCAGTGAGCGATCTAAATCCACCCATTTTAGTTCATCTTCTTTACCCTTGACGACATAGCGTAGCCCGAAAAATTCAGGTTTTTGCAAATTTAATCGCTGGCAAACATTGTCCAAACACTCTTGACCCTTACTCTCCGAACTTATCGTACAGTCGACTGTTGTAGAGGTTTCTGTGGAGTGAAATGAAATTAGAGATTAAGAAATATTATATACATATATATTAAGAACATTTCAGCTTGCATCAATCAAAATGATTCTTGATTTTCCATATATCTTTGACCTATCGAAAATTCCCATACCAAAATACAAAACTTACCCAGGACAAATCCGTCGACACAAAGTAATGGGTTACGCACTTACCATTTTCCAAAACTTAAAATGAGATTTCACAACGTAATTAACGAGGAGGAAAAAAATAAATATACTAAAATTACATAAAATTAGTGAAACTAGAACTCTGCAACAGGATCATTTTTTAATGATGATGATGCTGCACTACCCCAGCATTTGTTACCAGATCTGATCAGTAGAAGATACAAACCACTATCGTTTAAACCTCCATCACCCGGAATTCACCTCTTCACCGGGGTTAAATTCTTCGGTATAACGATAGATGCAAACTTAACTGGAGCCAGAACACAACAGCAAGAACACGGTATTGCTCTATAACTCTTCTTTCTTAACTTCCTCGAAAGCTCTAGAAACTTTTCCGAACTCTCTGCCTCTAAAGCCCTACGGCAAACTTCAAGCGAGCTGCAACGCAACGTTAGACTCAACGCAATTTAGCCTTGAAGGAATTGGAGTATACTACAGTACTATATTTCCCACAACTTTCGGAAGAGATGTTCTACCCCACAACTAATTTCTGTTTTGATAATCTCTTTACCACAAGATTAGCCGAGAGAAAGAATTAGGCAGCTTAAATGTTGCAGATCTATAGAAATAGCAATCTTTACAGACGGTTCAAAACTCTACGATAGTCGACTGAAACATGCCACTACCGCACCATTGCAATATCTTCCAAATTGAACTTACTGAAAGCGCTTTCTAAGAACACAAAACAATGCATTACTATTCACTCTGACAGCCATGCTGGTTTAGATCTCTCAGTGTAACTTTGCTAAGCCAAAAGTGGCAATAAAATGTAGAAGAGCAATCTGAAGAAAAAATTGGCAATTGCGCGTCGGGACAGCTTGGGGCCTGAACTGGCCTCGACTGAAAGGCAAACGGCATATGGACAGCTCTGGCTAGTGTTCGATGCTAAAAAGTAGGGAGATTCCATATTTCTACTAGAGCGCTAGATACCCAGGTATAGTTGCTCAACTGCTTAAATGTTTTTTTCTCTTAATTATTTCACTTTTTAATTTTGTTTGTCAACAATTAAATTAGTCAATGAGATTTTCGTTTTGCATAAATAAGTTTAAAACTACAGAAAGGTCTGAGAAAAAGTAAACATTTTTGTTGAAAATGCTCGAGCTCGTACTCGACAATTTTCAACCAATGAGCACTTAACGAGTGTGCGAGTACTCGAGGCTCAAATACTCAAGCTGCTCGAAAATATTCGAATAAAATCTAATTTCTACAACGATTCGCCCTTCGTATAACAACAAACATAATAACAGGACACTGTTCAATGGGGATTCACGGTTACGAAGAGTCTGTCGAACCTCGATCCTCGCTGTCACTCTCCAGTAGCATGCGACACCGCTTTCTCGGAAAATCTTACACTGAATGCAGCGCACATTTGTGAAGGTGAGAAGCTAGTAGCCAACAGCTACAACAACTTAACTAAACACAAGTTACTTTATCGCGCTCAAAAAGCAGTAAAATTTGCACGGAGAGAGCGTAAGAGGCTAATTCTTACTGACATTTCTCAGCGAACGTAACTGATAAATTAATTTCAATTAAATTCACAGCTGATGAAAAACAATAAATTAATATCGAATTCTATTAAAAATATATATGTACATGAGTAGGTAATGTATGCCAGAGGATTAAGTGGCGTGTAATTAAAATTAAATTCAATTAAAATAGTACAAAAATGTTTTTCTTCTTTTGATGTGGAGAAGAATTAAAGTCACCACAGTCATCCCGCCTCATAAATGTGTATGTGGGTCGCAAATCGATATATGTACATACACGTATGTATGTATGTAGATATATTTGAACAATAGTTTATGTGAATATTGTCTACTGCTGCCACTGCTGCCAATGTCAATGCGCGTGTGGTTAAAAATTTTAATAATAAAAGACACATTGAAAAAAAATATACAATATATACATATATATTTATTAAAATGCCATAAAAACCAAAACGATTGTTGACTAGTATGACAACAACAACAACAACAACCATTTATATGCAAATAAACAAATTAAATGACAAATTGAAGGAGTAAAAAAATAAACGTTTACACTGTTAAGAATGCTAAGTGAATAAAACAAATCAAGCGGGAAAATGTTTTTGCATACAAATGAGCGCGAAATCGATACAAAAATACCAATAATAATAACTCTCAACCAAAATGGGTACAGAAAAATATGAAGTCTTTCGATTTCTATGATTGAATGAATACCAAATTTAAAGATTTTAAACCCAAAACCTCACATCTGAACGGATGGGTTGTATGGTGGCTATAAGACCCACCGATTTCATTAATTTTTGGTATCAACCTGCAGCATTACATTTGGGTAGAATAACAAATTTCATCCTCTGATTAATTGATTTTTATCCGAAAACCTCACATCGGAACAAAACGGTTGTATGGCAGCTATACACGTATGATATCGTCCACCAATTTCGATGATTTTCATTATTGATGTACATTTTACAGTACACTCTTGGCCAAAAGTATTAGGCTCCCCACTAAAATACAAGTATTCTTAAATGTGGCTATCAAAGTTACCACTTTTTGTAAATGTCTTACATGGGTGTTTAAATGTTGATTAAACGAATAAATTGTGTAATATTAAAAGACATTGCACTCTGGGTAAGCTAAACATAAATGTTTTTTAAGAAATTCATAAAATATTTTCACAATTAAAATTTGAAAGTGAAAGTGAAATTACATTTAGTGAAAAGTTATCAATCTTATAAAAAACGGTTCATATCTACCGCAATGCCTAAAAAAAATTAAATCAGTTACGATGATAGAGTTAGAATTCAAGTTCTAAGTGAAGAAGGTAAGTTTCAGATTGAGATTGCAAATTTGGTGGGATGTTCGCGGTACGCGATCTAATGTGCTATCAGGCGATTTGTGGAGATGAAATTCCACAATAATAAATAAAAAAGTGGAAGAAAGCGTCCAACCAGTAAACGAGTAGACCGAAAATGATGTAAAGCCCGAAAGAAGCCGTGGCTCTCAGAAAAGAATAGGAAAAATAGTTTGGAATGGGCTCGCCGATACCAATATTTCACGGAAGAAGATTGGTCAAATGTTCTGTGGTCTGATAAATCAAACTTCGAGGTAAAGCTTAGTTAAGATCGTCTTAAAGTATTAACAGCCATAGCTTCTTACCCTAGAACAATTTTGAAGACATAATACAAATCTTAAGAAAACAATATTTTTTATTTTCTACAGATATTTGGAACATCTGGTGTGACGTTCGTTAGGCGACGGCTTGTGGAAGAATATCATCCAGATTGCGTGGTACCCACTGTTAAGCATGGCGGAGGCAGCATTATGATCAGGGGCTGCATGATGGTGTCAGCGAAATGTTCGTTTGCGAGGGTCGTGAGGACAGACAAAAGTACATAAATGTATTAGAAGCTGTTCTTCTGCCCTCGTTAACGCACATTTTCGGCGATACTAATTTAGACAGAGTTCAATTTCGGCAAGACAATGCGTTAGTTTAGAGATAATAACATAAGTTTTGTTCGATTGGCCTGCAGTCTCCAGTTCTTAACCCCATTGAGCACATGTGGACTATTTTAAAACGCAAGATTAAGCAACATAGTATAAAAACTGCCTTAAAGAATGCCTTAATTAACGAGTGGTACGCTATAGGAGCGGACGAATCTGCAAAGCTTGTACGCAGCATGCCTAGGAGAATTGCTCCCGTTATTAAATCGAAGGGTGGACCTACTAGATATTAATGTTATTATCACTAATTCATTGTATTTTCGCTGTTTTACTAATAAACTTTATTACTTCACTTGTTAAAACAAAAAGTTCAGTAATTAGTGGAGTGCCTAATACTTTTCTCCAAGGCTGTACGTATGTAGAATGCTACATCTCATTTCAAAACTTCATACCTTAACCAACCGGTTGTTCGAGGACTATATTATATAGTGCTCCGGTCTGGCCGGTTCCGATAAATACATCTGTTTACCAAGTTTGATTATATATATATATTATTATTGAGTAAGAATAATTTAAGAATACTAACAGGATTTCTTACAGGACATTGCAGTCTGCGTAAGACCATGTACATGTACATGTCCGTTGAAATTTGCCGATTCTGTGAGCTAGTACCAGAAACACCGGTGCAGATCATATTTGAATGCAGAGCTGTCGCAGGAAGAAGACACAAACAACTTGGAGTCATTCATCCGAAAGAGATCCACATTAAATTCTCATGAAATTGTGCTAAAGTCTGATATCAGCTTGATGTACGAACATTGGATGCCTTAACTCAGTAGTATTTGAGTGCATGTCAAAGGTGGACACCAACAAGGATAAAATATGCTGCATATGTCGCAGATCAATGAGCCGGCACTAACGGTATCTAAGCCAGGAAAAATTTTTCGTTGTTTTTGAGGGCATTGGCAAGTAATCATCCACTATGAGCCGCTCCCATACGGCAAACCCTTAATTGGGATCTGTACCGTCAGCAATTGTACTGTCTGAAGGAAGCAATCGCTAGATGCGCTCAGCTTTTGCCAACATGAGGGGAGTTTTGTGTCATTAGTACAACGCCAGAACACTCACATCGATGGTGACCCGCCAGAAACTCCAAGAGCTTGGCTGGCAGGTTCTCATGCAAATGATGTGCCTGAAGAAGAATTGTGCTCAAGAGAAGCGTGTGAAAATGGATTGTCCCAATTTTTTGCCTATAGGGACAAAGGTGTCTATGAGAAAGGCAAAACGACAAGCAAAACGGTGCATATTTGACATAAATTGGATAATTTTAAATATGGTAAATAAAGCCTTCTATTTAATACAAAAAT